ATTCATCCTATTGATTATTGTTTCATTGCAATGGTTACAATCCCCTCCATGCATCATCAACCAACCAAAGGGTATATACCCTGCCCTTCCCCCTAGTCATCAGCACACAGCCCTCTTCCTCTCTGAGTCTAGAGTCCACTGCGGCTCCATTTCTCCATGTTGTCATCTCTGCCTCCATCTCTGGCATCACTGCTTCTCTGGGTAGGGTCTTGCACTCTGCTCTTCTTCCTTGATAGTCCCAGGGACCTCCGCTCCTGGACTGCAAAGTCAATCACTCCCTGCCTTTTGCTACAAAATCTCTACTTTTACATTTGCAACATTCACAATCAGTCCTGATAGCAATTATTCACCATTGTACCACAAGGAACCTATCCCCATCTCCTTTCATTACCCTGCCCAGACAGATTGAATACTACTCAGTGGAGATTTTACCTTCCTCTGCTCTCTGTGGATCTAGGCTCCCTCTTGAAAGCTTGTAAGCCAGTCACTTCTTGCCTTTGTAGCATTTTGGGTAGCCAATGTCCAAGTTGACCATCCCTGTCTACTTTGTGTATGGAGGGGGTAGGAATGATCCTCACTGTAAAGATTTGTTCCCTCTTTTGAGCTACTGCATCCATAGATGTAGGTCAGGTTCGTCAAATTGTGTCAGATTACTCTTTTCTTCCTCTTCTTTCTTCTTCTAGTTGAGCGCTGATCATCCAGCCATTGAAGCCAGGTCAAGTGGGTATTATCTGCAAGTTTGTGTGTTCTTATGGAACAGATAATCTGCAGATAATTTCTGAGGTGGAAATTTCCACCTCAGAAGATTCTGGATGTGGTTCAGGATTCCACCTATATTCTTATGTAATGCAGATGCTCCGCAGGAAGCCTCCTTCACTGGGCACGTTGTAGCCCCATTTTAGGTATTCCAATCAGTTATAGGCAGAAGATGGACTTACAAGCTTTCTATGGTGATATTTCTGGCTATTCCTGTCTCTCCCCATCAAGTGTCTATTTTATAATGGTATGCCAGGGAAACTAAGTTTCAAAAGACAGCCAAGCATCTTAACATTATTTCCCCTCTTTTCCCCATTCAACCATGTCTCAATCCCTGTATCCCAGAGCACTGTTGTTCCAAGGTTGTACATACATCATTCTTTACCTCTGTCCCACTTAGCCCATGCAAACGTGCCTAATTGTTTTCCCATCCACTTTGTTCTTCCATTACCCTCCCCCTTCTTGTGTATTGCCCTCCTCCCTAGCACCCAAACTATCCTGTGTCTATTCCCTACCCTGTGCTCTACCTTCCCCTCTCCCCTTCACCTCACCCCCTACATCCCGGTAACCTAAAAAGAATCCCCACCCCTGCTTTCATATGGGTTCTTTTTCTTAGTCTTTTACAGTAGTGGTCCTATGCAGTATTTCTCCTTTTGTGACTAACTAATTTCTTTCAATATAATGTCCTCAAGCTTCATCCATGTTTTGCAGTGGCTTGCAGCTTCCTTGTTATTCTTCAAGGTAGCATAATATTCCATTGTGTGTATGTACCACAGTTTGTTTATCTATTCTTCAGCTGATGGACAGTTAGGCTGTCTCCATCTTTTTGCTATTGTAAATAGTGCTGCTGTGAACATTGGTGTGCATATATCTACTCATGTTATGGCTCGTATTTCTTGTGAGTAATTACCAAGAGAGGAATTTCTGGATCATAAGGTTTTCTATTTCCAACCTTCTGAGGAAGCACTGTATTGCTTTTCAGAGAGATTGGACCATTTTGCAATCCCACCAGCAATGCAGGAGTGTCCCAGTCTCTCCACATCCTCGCCACCATTTATTGTCCCCTACTTTTTTGATGTTTGCTGTTATTGCTGGTGTGAGATGGTATCTCATTGTTGTTTTGACGTTACTCAATGTTTTGATAAAAGATTCCAGGGAAAAATCCTGATCAAAATGGGGAAAACAGAACAGAATTTCAAATCCTCACGGACTTTTGACTCTCTGGAGACCTGGAGGGTGGGCACACCCCTGAAACTATTGCCTCGACATAATCTTTAAACTTTCAACCAGAAATATTCCCTGAAATCATCTTAAAACCAAACAGTATTTTAGCTTACTAGTGAAAAAGATGTGTCTTGAGCATTTGGCTCATTTCAAAACTGTCTGTATAGGATGTTATTGTTAAGTGCTGTCTAGCTGATTCCAACCCATATCAACCCTGTATAGGGTTTCGGAGGAGCAGCTCATGAGCTTGAACCTCTGACCTTGCAGTTCAAATGTCTTTCGAGTCTGGCACATTAGCCCACAGCACCACACCAGGGCTCTCTAGTTGCAGGATAATGTGTTGGACCACAAGGTCAGTTTGAGCCACAAGGTCAACAATTCAAATCCACCAGTCAGTCCTTGGAAACCCTATTCAGGGTCACTATGAGTTGGAACTGACTGGATGGCACTTAACAACAACAAAAACACGGGGTCAAACTGACAACAACTGAGAAGAATTAGATAGGCACCTTAGGTGACAGTGAACTTACGTTAATGGGATGGGGAACAACTTAGAAAAGAAGGGTAAGTGGTTGCACAATCTGAAGAATGTAATCTGTGCAACCGAATTGTACATGTAGCAATAAAAAAAAAAAAAAAAGGAAAGAAAAAGCCATCAACTGAAATGCTGTGATCACATCTCAAATCTCTCTGCTGCTGAAAAGGGAGCTTAGATCAGAAGGTCTGAGCAAAACATGGAAAAATGGTGTTTATTGAAGGGCCAGGGACATTAAAGCAGAATAGACCCAACAAACAGAGTGAAAATTAAAAGTAATTGATAAAGACTATGCAGAATTTCAAACATAAGGAAAGGCTGAGAAGAAAAGCTCAAAGTACTTAAATGAAGACAGTAATGTCAAAGCATTTTCTGTGAACCCAAAGGGAATATCAATTAAGAGACTGCAAGTCAATTCAGGTAAAATGAGAATGAATCCGAAGCCAGATATATATGTGCAATTTATACATATTCATGTCCCCAGCTATCTCTGGAACATAAAGAGAGGTAGGAGAACAATTCTGGTGTTCTGATTCCTCCCACTGAAAGGAATCAAAACTTTGCTATTAAGGTGATTTCACATCATTTTAGCACACCAGTGCCAAGGAACCCCCCCCCCCCCATTTCCAGACTAATGGAAAGTGACTGAAGTTAGAGATGACTATCAAATCATTTCCCAACTATGTTAAATTTTGTGTAGTGTGAAAGGAGGGAAGTTTGTGCCTGCGTTGATGTCAATTTATGTATTTAGACCAAGTTTGGCTTCCAAGCAAACAGTATGATCTTTTCTACCACACATTTCAGAACATATATATCACAGTGGGTAGTGCCCTTCCAAATGGTCACCTTGGAAAGTAATATAATTATGCTAATGATTCTGCAATTACTGAAAACTCTCTTTAATTTTTTTATTCTCTCCATAGATAATTATAGGTCACGAAAAAAAAGAGAAGTGTTTATTTAATCACCCATATTTATTGACTGTCTGTGACATACCAGGCATTGTGCTCTGTTGTTGTTGTTGTTAAATGCTGTTGAGTTGGTTCCAACCCATAGCGACCCTGGATAGCGTTTCCAAGGAACGGCTGGTGAGCTTGATCCACTGATTTTGTGGTTCAAACAACTTTGCAGTCCAGCACATTAACCCACAGTGCCACACTAGGCCTCTTAAGCATTGTGCTGGATGTCAGTAGATGGACAGCAGCAAAACATAGGTTGGATTTAATAAGCTAGATCTTACTGTTTTAATGACCCAGAGCAATATTAACAAGCATATTCTGCCACCTTATTTTTATTTCCAACTCTATATTTAAAAAACTCTGATCCACCCTCAAAGAATCAAGGTGTGTTACTTCAAAGGCTATTCAGAATTAACTACCATCTTGAACAATGAGCAGTTCCCAAAGAGAAATTCCATCTGATATTCTGGGCATGGAATAACTGGTTAGCTACCCAGGGGGACTGCTTTACAGAGAGGGAATACTCACCTGAATGGCAACAGTTGAAAAAAGTTGTCACCACTTTACTTTGTATTTTTATATATACTTTCAATAGCTGTTGTTATGTGCCATGGAGTCACTTCCGACTCATAGTGACCCTGTACAGGGTTTCTGAGGCTGTAAATCTTTACGGGAGCAGAAAGCCTCATCTTTCTCCCGCAGAACAGCTGTTAGTTTCGAACTGCTGACCTTGCAGTTCACAGCCCGATTTGTAACCACTACACTACTTTCAATAGAGTACATATTATTTACACATGTACACAATTTTAGCATTTGTCTTAAATCCCCAGACATTTTCCTCCTGTTGGTGTACTAGTGAAAGAGCTCTGGTGGCACAATGGTTAAGTCATCAGTTCTAGATGGGAGAAGCCGTTCAGTCTGCTCTGTTGTTGTGTGCCGTTGAGTGATTTGGACTTGTAATGACCCTATAAGACAGAGTAGATCTGCCCCCTGAGGACTGCCTGGGTTGAATGCTTCCCTGGAGCAGACCACCAGGTCTTTGATCCTACAGAGTGGCTGGTAGATTCTAATTGACAGCCTTGTAGTCAGCCACTGAACCTTTTGCCATTGCACATTCAAGAATTCTAACCATAAAGATTGCAGAAAAAACAAAAAACCCATTGAGACAGTTCTCCTCTCACCTGGGGTCATTGTGAGTCGGGATCAACTGCACAGCACCCAACAACAGGATCCCCTTGAGTTTCTCAGGCAGCCTCCTTATATCCCCGAGAGGTGACAAAACTTGCACTAAACCCATTGCCTCCCGGTCGATTCTGACTCATTGCGACCTTATAGGGCAGATTTACCGAGGTTATTAATCTTGGCGCATTTGACCTCATCTTTCTCCTGTGGAGTGGGTAAGGGGGTTTGAACCACCAACCTCACGGTTAGCAGCTTGATGCTTAACTCATGGCACCACCAGGGCTCCTTGAGAGCTGACAGGGCACTGATTCATCTATCTCTTGTTGTTTATCTTCCTTTCCCAGGATCCTAGGGAATCGTGTGGCTGAACTGGAGAAAAAACTAAGAACTCTGGAAGTTTCTGGTTTGTGGAGCCTTCCAGGTAAGCAGAACTTCACATACATTGTTTTCCTTTCTTAAAGAAAAGCTGCTCTCACGTACTTTGAACAGAAGAGCGCTCGTTTTCAATGCCCTTTTATGTGAACATACCGTAGCTGAGAAATCGACAAGTGCTTGCAACCGTCTTTTGAGAGGAGGAATTAAAAACTCCATCAGGACTCAAGTTCTTGTCTGTGTAACTGTGAGGTTCCGTTCACCTCAGTTCGGAAATGCTCATTGTATGCATCTGTTTAACATTTTTTTATATATAACTTTTGTGAACATAATGAATTGTTTCATCCCTTCCTTCCTCCTGTTCTAAAGATTTGCTCAATTTAATCACCAGTCCCAAAAAATGAATATGAAAACTTACAAAGATGTGTTCATTTTAACCACCAGTACTAAAAATGAATGGGAGAAACAACAATTTTTCAAACTCAACTCCCTCCCCATGGCACAAAAGCTGCTTATCTGCTTCTCTTTCCATTGTTAAAAATCAAATTTTCCTGGGGAGATCTTCAGTCAAACATGGTGAGGGGCAAGTTTGATGTTCCGCTTTAATTAGCTATATTTGTCTTGGTAAAATGCCCCCTTTGGGAGACCACTGCCAGCTCTTCTCCTTTGTCTATACACTTTTCAGAAACTTATATTTATCATTTTCCACCACCTCCTCTTTCCCTGGGAACAACGTTGTACATATATTTTTAGTTACTTAACCTTTCTGTACAAACCAGTCTCCTCTACCCTTGAATCAGAGCTCTGGCTTCGCTGTAATGTATGATAAATGCAAATTGCTGCAGGGAGGTGGGCATCAAGCCCTCTTCATGTCAGTCTGAATAGCCACCTTAGGATGGCTGGAAGTGCATTTCACAAATTGGAATTTTTAGCAGAAGATTCCTTGAACTTGGTGTCAGAGGACCCAACTGAACTAATTAATGGCAAGTACCATTTTGGGGATTTGAATGATCCGTTTTACACGAGACTCTTAAGATGCCATTAACATTTTATCTTTATTTGAAAGCCTATTTTGTTATGTCATTGAATTTCAACACGAGCCAACTTCTCATTCATTGGTACAGTCTGATGGCTATTTCTGTGGGTTTTTTTGCTGGAGTGTTTTGTTTGTTTCTTTTTTCTAAGACGGCATTGTGGGATAAAATGCCAGCCCCCGAGGTTGGTTTGAACCACAAGGTCAGTAGTTCAAATTCACCAGCCACTCCTTGAAACCCTATGCAGGGTTGCTATGAGTTGGAACCGACTGGATGGCACTTCCTAACAACAACAACACAATGACTTAGTGAAACGTCTCAATGTTTCCTCTGGTAGTGTAGTGGTCATGAATTGGGCTGTGAACTGCAAGGTCAGCAGTTTGAAACTACCATCTGTTCCATGGGAGAAAGATGAGGCTTTCTGCTCCCGTAAAAATTTACAGCCTCGGAAACCCTGTACAAGGTCTCTGTGAGTAGGAACCGACTCCACGGGACATAACCACCACCACCACCATATAAAAACACATATGTTGATTGAGTCAGTGTGTGAATGCTAACATTGCTGTTGTTTGGTCTTCCTGAGCCGGCAAATGGCAATTTGCAATTAATGATGATGTCTTTCCTTCCTTTTGCTGCCTGAAGGCCTGAGCTACAATGTTTCAGTGGGATTTGGGAGTATGTTCTATTTGAAATATATGTTTGTGTGGCTAATTTCAGTGACGCATGAATATCATCCCTGCATGTAAATAAATAGAAACCCATTTTCTCTGTATCCTTGAACTTTTCTGAGGAGAACAGCCCAGTGAAATAGAGAATTCAATTAGTACAAAGCAAATATTAAGTGATAAAATGAGCGTTGAGGGAAGTGATTGAATTTTTTGCTGGGGCCATGTTTGTTCTAATCTCTAGCTTCCACATAGCTCCAAAGTAGCAAGACAGGACAAAAAGTGGAAACTCCCCAGACCTCACACTGTTTGTGTAGTGGTGCTGAAGGATGTCAGGATGAAGCAATATGCTGTGAACATTTCCATGTGATGGAAGTAAGCAAGAAGAAGGCCAGCCTTATTCTGCCTGCTCATTGTTTCACGCGTCTCCACGTAACCGACTGAACAGAGCAGCAAGAAGAATGTTCATTTCTTCTTCCTCCTCACCCATTCCCTTGTGGGAGCCAAATCAGATCCCTGGATGGTTCTCTCATCTATTACAGATCAAGCATAACAACAATGGTGAGGAGATCACAGGACCTGGGCAGCATTTCGTTCTGTGGTGTGTAGGGTCGCTGTGACTAAGAGCCAACTCGACACCACCTAGCACCACCACCAACACTACAAATCAGGCCCACCCAGCAGTGCTGCAGAAGAAAGGCATGGCAAACTGATTCTATAAAGATTACCTGTGGAGTATAGTGCTACTTTCTAACACAGTGGGTTGCTTTGAGTCCTAATCAACTCACATTGATGGGTTTGGGTCTTGGTATACTATTGTTGTTGTTAAGCACTGTAGAGTCAGGTCTGACTCATAGCTACCCTGTATAGGATTTTTGAGGTGCATTTGGTGGGCTTGAACTGTTGATCTTGTGGTTCAAAGTTGGGTGCTTATCCTATAGCTCTCTCTATATACATATATACCATTGATCCTTGAACAACACAGGTTGAGACTGCATGCATCTACATCCATGTGGATTTTTTCCCTTTTGCTGTAGTGATGAGCTCAAGTGCTGCGGGCATCCACTTAAAATGCTATGTGAGCAGTTGGTCTCTCTGGTAAATTGCATATCAAAATAAAACGTGACCACTCACGGTTCTTGAGTATTTATGTTGGGTACCAGGAGACCCACACCAAGGTGTCACTAGTGATGCTGGAAGCGCTCCCAAGAAGCAGACAAAAGCCATGACATTACAAGAAACAAGTTGAATATCTTGTTATGTACCAAGGCCTGCAGCTGCCAATTGCTGCCTGCCATTTCTGGATAAATGAGTCAGAACCGACTTGACAGCACCCAACAACAACAATTTTTTTTAACATAGATTTTGTGAATTCAGGGCCATTCTAGATATGACCTCTCACCCACTCTAGGAATCTACAGTCCAAACAGGGAAGTAAGATAGATACACATGAAGCAGTGTGAGGAACTGCCGAATGGCACATAACAGAAATAAATGAGTGATAAAGACCTTAGTGTATAAGAAAATGAGAATCAAATGTTAGCCATTGGGTAAGACCCTTTGCCCATGCCAGTGGCAGGCATTGTCAATCAATCTCAAAGTTCATCCTTACTGATGTCAGGCACAGATTCAGAATCATCCACACTGGCTTCTCAGCAAACCACCTCTTTACTGTAAGGCAGAATGACTGCTGGATTCTGAACTTGCTATGATGTTTCTCTGACTTTCCCTTCCACCCTCCTCACTGTCTTTGTCAACAGTAGATAGATCTTGATGTTGGTTTCAAGAATTGGGGCAACAATGCCATCTTGCTGGGACGTAGACAGAAGTTAAACAAATTTAATAAATGTCAGAGCCTACATAGAGAAATCATCTTGATAGCAAAACAGAACAGGCAGAACAGGTGTAGAGTTGCAGAGAAGAAACCAGGAGAGAATGACCACCCACTCTGTCAGTCCCTTGCCTCCAGCTCTTTGCCAGCCACTGTAGGGAGAGGGATGTTTTCTAAATACGTTAAAGCACTCAAAAGGGACACGGAAGGCCACAAGGTATCTGGCAAGAGCAGAACCTGGGGATTTGATCTTTTCATCTTCCCAGATATCAACCTGAGGTGGAGAAGGAGCTGGGAAGGGCTTTCTGCAGTAGGAATCAGGAGAGCTGCGAGAAATGCTAGCTGACTGTAATGGCTTTGTTTGACCTCCATTTGTTGTCATTTGACTCTAGCTTGTGCATCACTCTTGTCCCTAATTCCCATCCTTCTGTCCTCCTATAGGAGCTCTGGTAGCATAGTGGTTAACAGTCAGGCTGCTAACCTCGAGGTCAGCAGTTCAAAACTGCCAGCCGCTCCACAGAAGAAAGATGGAGCTTTCTGTTCCCGTAATGATTTACAGCCTTGGAAACCCTACACAGGGTCTCTATGAGTCGGAACCGACTCCACGGCACATCACAACAAGTCCTTCCAAGAACCAAGATGGAACCATGAGACAGCAGATCATCAAATTAGAGCTTGGTTTGACCAACCTAGATGGAATCTGAACTTGGATACTGTTCACAAAACTAGGATTCTTCTAAGGGAACTCTTAGAATTATTTTAAAATCTTGGCATTTTATCTTAAGATCAAGAAATCATCTCCTAAAGTAGGAGTTGATGGAAGTAATGGGCAAAGTGGTGGCTTTTGTTTCCTCAACCTGCTCATTACTTGGATTTTCTTGAGAGGTTTAATGTTGTCAGAACCAGTGTTACCATGTGGGACAGTTGATGGCTGAGTGGTTGGATAGAACCAAAGAGACTTTCTGCCTTAAAGACTTCCTTCTGACCCAAAGGGCCAAGGATCTTCCTCAGGATGCCTTGGGCCACTCAACTGCATCCAGCTTTCAACTCTGACTGTAATTTGGATTCTCTAGCCACTGAGACAAAGGGAATTCACTGGTAGGGACACCTGAGGGACAGAGTGTCTTCTTACCACATTCCCTGAGGGCTGGAGAGCCACCCGCACGTCTGCTAGAGAAAGAAAGGCCAAGAAACACAGGCCTGTCCTGTCTTGAGGGAGAGGCATCTGCTATGGAATCACAGATGACCAAAACCTGGATTACCACTAATTCATCAATGTGCCTGTCTCCCGATTGTACAGCTCAAAGGCAGACCTGATTGTGTTGGCTTCATTCTCTAAGTCTCTGAGCAACATCCTGTGCTGGAGGTCAGCGGTTCCCTTTGGAAAATCTCCCCAGACTGGCCTTGAAGATTCCTGGAATTTTCCAACATGAAACAGCAGTCACTGTGTTGGGACAGAAGGTCAGGAGGGCTCTCCCTCAGGTAACAGAGAAGCCAGGGAACAAGGCCTGTTTATATGGAGCCCTGGCAGCGCAACGGTTAAGTATTCAGCTGCTAACCTTTAGGTTGGTGATTTGAAGGTACTCAGCAATTCCATGGGAGAAAGGCTTGGTGATGTGCTTTCATAAAGACTGCAGTCTAGGAAACACAATAGGGCAGTTCTACTCTCTCACATGGGGCCACTGTGAATCGAAAACCAACCCCACGGCACCTAACCACAGCACTGATGTTTGTTACTACCGCATTCCATCTGCCTGGGACACCAGCAAGCGCCTCGCCCACCAAGATGTCAGATTCCCAAGGATGCTCTACTCATTTACTAAGACATCCATCAGTTTTTTACTGTGCACCTACCATGTGCCAAGCTTTCTACTACAGTCTTGGAAATGAAAGTTAATAAGGCATGGTCTAATGGAAAGGTCTAATGGAGTTAATAAGGCATGGCCTAGTGCAATCCTGGTGTGGCGCTGTGGGTTAATGCACTGGACTAAAAGGTCGGTTTGAGCTGCAAGGTTGTTGGTTCAAGCTCACCAGTTGCTCCTCAGAAACCCTATACATACAGAGTTGCTAGATGGCATTTAACAGCAACAACAATGGGAAGATAGTACTATAAATAAATAAAAAGACATACAATGACTGACTTATGTCTGTGGTTCACCTGGTTCTTCAAGGAAAGGAACATTTCTAAACATACCATCTTGTGCTCTGCTGAACGTAGAATTTTAGAGCTTGGAGTGGCACTATAGGATAAGCACTTGACCGTAAAGTCCGCTTGAACCACAAGGTCAGTAGTTCAAACTCACCACCTGCTCTTTGGAGCAGGGTTGCAATGAATTGGAACTGACTCTGTGGCACTTAACAACAACAGTAAGGTTGGTTTGAATCACAAGGTTGGTGGTTCGAGCTCACCAGCTACTCCTTGGAAACCCTATGTTATTTTTGTTAGGTGCCACCAAGTCACTACCAACTTATAGCGACCGTATGTACAGCAGAATGAAACACTGCCCAATTCTGGGCTAACTTCAACATTGTTGCCACGCTTGAGTCCATCAATGCTGCAACCTGGCCAATCCATCTAGTTGGGTGTCTTCATCTTTTTCTCTGACCCTCCACCTTACCAAACATGATATCGTTCTCCAGCGACTGGTCCCTTCTGACAGTATGTCTGAAGTATGAGAGACGAAGTTTGGCCATCTTGGCCTCCAAGGAGCATTCTTCCAACACAGATCTGTTGGTTCTTTTGGCAGCCCATGACACTTTCAGTATTCTCTTCCAACACCATAACTCAAAAACATCAATTCTTCTATGGTCTTCCTTATTTACTGTCCAGCTTTTGCATGCATATGAGGTTATTGAAAATACCATGGCTTGGGTCAAGCGCACCTTAGTCCTCAAGCTGACATCTTTGCTCTTCAACACTTTAAAAAGGTCTTGTGCACAGATCTGCCTAATGCAATACATAGTTTGATTTCTTGACTACTGCTTCTATAAGTGTTGATAGTTGATCCAAGAAGCACAAAGTCCTTGACAACTTCAATCCTTTCTCCATTGATAAGAATGTTGTTTATTGGTCCAGTGGTGAGGATTTTTGTTTTCTTTACATTGAGATGTAATCCATACCAAAGGCTGTGCTCTTTGATATTCATCAGTAAATGTTTTAAGTCCTCTTCACTTTAGGCAAGCAAGGTTGGATCATCTGCATATCACAGGTTGTTAATGAGTCTTCTTCCAATCCTGATGCCACATTTTTCTTCATAGAACCCAGCTTCTCAGATTATTTGCTCAGCATACAGGTTTAATAAGTATGGTGAAAGAATACAACCTTGTTGTACACCTTTCTTAATTTTAAACCATTCAGTGTTCCTATGTTCTGTTCGAACAACTGCCTCTTGGTCCACATACAGATTCCTCATGAGCACAATTAAGTGTTCTGGAATACTCATACTTCACAATGTTGTCCATAGCTTGTCATGATCCACACACTCGAACGCCTTTGTCTAGTCAATAAAGCACAGGTAAACCTCTTTCTGATATTCTCTGCTTTCAGCCGAGATCCATCAGACATCAGCAATATCCCTTGTTCCATGGCCTCTTCTGAATCTGGTTTGAACCTCTGGAAGTTCTCTGTCAATGTATGCTTGCAGCCATTCCTGTATTACCTTTAGTAAAACTTTACTCTCATGGGATTTCAGAGATTGTCCAATGATTTCCACATTCCATTGGGTCACCTCTCTTTGGAATGGGTGCATATATGGATCTCTTCCAATCATTCAGCCAGATGTCGTCCAAATTTCTTGGCAGAGATGAGTGAGTGCCTCCTGTGCCACCTCACTTTCTTGAAAGATTTCAATTTTTATTCCATCAATTCCTAGTTCCTTGTTCGTTGCCAATTTATTCAGTGCACCATGGACTTCCTCCTTCAGTGTCATTGGCTCGTGATCATCTGCTACCTCTTGAAGTGGTTGAACATTAACCATTTCCTTTTGGTACAGTGACTCTGTGTATTCCTTCCATCTTCTCTTGATGCTTAATGTATCATTCAATAATTTGCCCAGAGAATCTTTCAATAACAAAAGTCAAGGCTTAATTTTTTTCTTCAGTTTCCCCAGCTTGAGAATTGCTGAGTGTGTTCTTCCTTTTTGGTTTTGGGTAGCTATGAATTGGAATCAACTCCACGGCACTTAACAACAACAACAACAACAGATCAGAACCTGGAGTCCTGGTGTGGCATTGTAGCATGAGCACTGGACTATAAACTGCCAGTTGGCGGTTCAAACTCACTGACTGCTCCTAGGAAACCTTATATAGGGTCACTGTGAGTCAGACCAACTCTACAATGGCACTTAACAATAGCAACAACAATCAGAACCAGGGTCCCTGAGGGCATAGTTGGTTGTGTATTGGGCTGCTAACCACAAGGTCAGCAGTTTGAATCCACCAGCCTCTCCATGGAAGGAATATGAATCTGTTTGCTCCCATGAAGATTTGCAGCCTTGGAAACCCTAGAGCATGTTGCTTTGATCTGGAATTGACTTGATGGCCCATAACAACAACAATCAGACCTCAGTGGTGGAATTTTTCCTTCCAATGTTCCTTATGTAGCACTGTGGGTTCATGCACCAGGCTGCAAAGCCATTTGAACTGCAAGATTGGTGGTTCAGGCTCCTCAGTTGCTCCTCAAAACCCTATACAGGGTCGCTGTAGGTCAGAATCAACTCTACAGCACTTAACAACAACAATGTTCCTTAGGCATAGCCACCATCTGTTTGTCAGTGGAAGCTTGTATGTTGCTATGATGCTGAATAAGTTTCAGTGGAGTTTACAGACTAGAACAGACTAAGAAGAAAGGCCTAGTGATTTACTTCTAAATCCAGCCAGTAGACATCTTGTGGATCACGAGAGTCTGATTTGTAGGAATGGGCAGTGTTTTGTTCCTTTATATACGGGGTCGCCCTGAGTCTCTGCTGACTTGCTGGCAGCGAGCAACAAGCAGAGTCCTACAGAGACATTTACTCATGTGGCTTCATACAACTTAGAGCGAGCCTTTCATTGTTGGCAGGTGGACCCCACTGAGAGATTCCCTTGAAGCCTGTGGACTAAAGATTGGCATCAGAGCCTCCCTATTTGACTCTCTTGACCAGCTGAGGCAGCTTCACTCTGTGTCCTGGTGTTTTATGTCCGTCTGTCAGTCTGTCAGTGCTCATTGTCTGCATGATTCTATGCTACACTTCTACCCCCTTCACCCCCATAACTTGTCACGGCCTCAAATAGAGTTTCATTCATTTTCCTTTCCTTCTTCCATTGACCTTACAAGCATTTTATTGTCCACTAGAGATTCTTTTTTTTTTTGTCTATGGATTCATCTGTTTAATATAGGAAATAACATTTTATCAATACTAGGCACCATAAAATGTAAACACAATTACTGTCATAAACCTGGATATACATTCAAGAATTTACCTCCAAGAATTGAAAGTGATTTTTATTGTAGTTACCCTGTTTGCAGATAGTGCAGAGAAAAGTTCTTCATGTTAGCACTCTGCTTGCCAAATTAGGAGAGAAGCAGATAAAATTTGAATTCTTTAAATAGTCGTAAACTAAATTATAGTAACATCCAGGTTTATCTTCCTTTCACTAGCTACATTTCTGTTACACACCTCTTCATAACAACAGCACAGTGAACGATGAAGTCAAAAAAATTTGATATACTAGAAAACAGAGTTCAGTGATACAGTTACATTCTATTTATACTAACAGTATAGTACCATGTTCTAAGTGATGGTTTCACCGTGATAATTTAGAACACCCAATTCTGCTGCTTTATCATTCAGTCTACATGATCAAGTTGAATTCAATCAGCTTGATCATCTATGGCCCTATATTCACACTCTGAAGTAATGGTTTCAGTGGATGATATTTATGATATCTTACACGAATCCATCCATTTCATCTTTACAACGGCCTCTTAGGTGCATGTCATTTTTCTTCCTTATTTTACAAATAAGGAATCGGGAGTCTCAGAGAGGTTTAGTGACTTGCCCAAGGTCACCCAGCTTGCAAGTGATGGCATCTAGAGCATAAACACCCTAGTATGGTTCCAAACCCGTACTCCTACACAGTCTGCTTTTGGTATTATTGCCTCCACCAGATAGAAGCCACTTCATTTTCTATCAACACAGCAGGCTTCCCTTTAATGGTGATATCTGAGGGCACCCAAGTCCCAACAAGACTCGCAGAAGTGAGCCAAGGTCTTTGGTCATAGACAGACAGACAGACATCTCTGGACTCTCATTGCTCTGTCCACATGGTACACAGAGGGTCTGTTAGCCAGTTTCCTTCCACAGCTTTACTCCCACATGGAGAAGTTCAGAGTTGACCCAAACCACCCAAGTGTATTGTGTGCAAGTAAATGCAGGCACAACTCCACAGATGACATATTCTGTCCATCGCCCACCCCCTTTTCTGTGACAGGAGGCAAGGACACCATACTGTTCAGTGAGCCCACTCTTCCCACCATCCAGGGATCAAGAGCCCCACTGCTGAAGTTCATGGAGCAGCCCACCCAGAGCCCAGCGAACCCCACGAGTGGTAAGCACACCTCCGTCTCACCTTTTTTTGCCTAGCACATGCCTAGCACATGTTTTCTCCCCTTCCTGCAGCTTCTGTGGCATCGTTGGGTCACCATACATTGCCTCTTCTTGCTTGCCTGAGTATGGCTGGCTTTGAGGTTCCAGAAGAAGAATACATGTCCTTACAGTCTTGGCATGAGACTCATGAGTCCAACAGCTTGGACCAGATATCAGCCCCATGTCTCACTGACTGCGACAACATGGGCTTGAGCCTCGGGGTCCTCACCTGTCAAGGGGCGACATGATGGGGCCAATTTCAGTGAAAGCTGAGCACATTGGCAGGCACATGGTGAGGGCTGAGAGTGACTCAGAGCTTCTCTACTGCCAAGAAAACAGCTTCTCAGGGCAGAGTGTTTGAAGAGGACCAAAAAACCATCTAATGTTCCAGATAAGTCAAAGGTGTGAGAGTCCGATTCCTCTCATGTGGTTGCCTTATTTCTCCAACAAAAACACCCTTCATGTCTTTCTAAGTTTTGCTTGTCTTCTACTCCACCCTTCCAACTTCCAAGATGGTGCCCAGTGATCTTCATCTCCTGGTATTCTTTCCCTTGGATATTTCTTTCCCGCAATGCACCATGCTTAGTCGGTGTGACTAATGGATATGACATGGTCATGGTGATTCACCATGGAGTCAGTTCCAACTCATAGTGACCCTGCATAGGATTTCTGAGGCTGTAAATCTTTACAGGAGCAGAAAGCTTCATCTTTCTCCCACAGAGTGGCTGGTAGTTTTGAACTGCTGACCTTGAGGTTCGCAGCCCAACTCGAAACCACTATGCTACCAGAGCTCTTTAATAGATAAGACGTCAACAATGGCATTTGTCTTTCCAAGCTAGACCATAGCAGATCTTGCTTTTCTCTCTTGGGTGATTCATTCTAGAGGAAGCCAGCTGCCAAGACATGAGAATATTCAAGCATCCCTGTGTGCTCTTCATGTGATATGAATTTAAATTCTCCAGCCATCAACCATACAGAGTGAATGATCTTGGAAACACATTGCTTACTATCTTGGAAACTGGTTTATTATCTTGTAAACTTGTACATTTCTTCTCCATGTTCTTTTGTTCAGAGGCATGTTTTCAACTCTCTCTATCCAAACACTCTCAAAATATTTGTTCCCACAAACATCAGATCCTCGTTACCTGGCTGACAGGGCTCTCCTCTGGCTTGCTCACCTCCCAAGCGCTCCTTGCTTCAGTCTGTATTTACACTTTTTCTAGAGGATGAAGCTTCTAGAGCCCTGTTTCCTATCCTGCTCAAAAATCCCCTGTGACTTCCAGCTGTCTTCCATTTAAAGTCTCAATTCCATATATTAGCCTGTTACTGTTTAGTGCCATCTAATCTGTTCCAACTCATAGCGACCCTGTATAGGGTTTCTGAGGAGTGGTTGGTGGATTTGAACCTCTGACTTGCAGTTCAAACCAATCTTGCTATCCAGGGCTTATTCTACAGTGCCACACCAGGACTTCATAGACTGGTCTAGTGCTCTAATTATCTGTTTTTATCCAATTGGACTAATCAGCTGCATCAGTTAGCTATTATTACGTAACAGCGCCTTCTCCTGTCCCCTTACTCCCACCCCCCCAAAATATCCTTGTAACTTAAAGCAACAGCTATGTGTTATTTATCGTAAGTCTTTGGTCCGATGGGTGGGTCTGCTAGTCTGAGCTAGGTGCAGCAAGGCTCACTCAGGCATTGGCACAGCTAGAAAGTGATAGAGCCAGATTCAAAGGTGGGTCATTGGGCAGCAGAGCCCAAGATCTTCTCCACTGTGATAAAACAATTGCCCTGTGAGAATAGACTTCTCCCAAGTGCACTGAAAGGATCAGGCCTGTGGAAACAGATAAACAGGGCTCCACTCTGGGCTATCTTTCCAAAGAACTGTCTTGAGGCCCATTCAAGTCTTTGACCATAGTGCATGGAATAGTAAGAATAGAAACTATAACGTGTCTAGGGTTGCAAAAGAAAGGTTCTCTAAGCACATGGGGTAGGAATTTCTGGCGAGAGCCCCTGACTCTGGTGGATTCCACACTGGCCAGCAAGCCCATGGCTGTTAGCAAGGCTGGCTTGTAACCCACCATGGCTCACTGTGCAGTTTGGAATGCGTCTTGATTGGTGTGCCAATACCCAGAGTCCATAGGGAGATCTGGCGTCTGTGTACACCTGCCCTCACTGGATCTGCTAAACTGAAGTGGAGCCTGTGCCTGGCTTGATTTTCTCAAGGGTGGCTTAAGTAGCAGCCTGGTTTCAAATGATGGCTTCCAGAGTTCCACCATCAGCTCCCATTGTTCCAACTATCCTTTGCCAGTGCTGGGTGGTAACGAGGAAGCAATTATGTAGCGGCTGGAATGGCCTCATCACTATTGTGTCTCTGATTAGTTCCAATAGAAAGCAGCTCTTACTCAGTAGGACAAAGTCCATCAGAGACCAGCTAACAAAGGAAGACGAGTCTGGGAGCCCGTGGCAGGGAAAGAAGGAGGTGCGTTTGTGGGGAACTGGTGATCTTTTCCACAAAGAGCTCCTGCTTCTTCATCTTTTAGAGGAAATTCTCTTTTCCTTCCACACTATTTGTATCGTCATGCATTTGTAGCAGTCGAACACCTCATCACTATTGAGATAAGTATGTATGTTACTAACAATAACTATTACTGATAATTCTATTTGATAAAGCAACACTGAATAATTACTACGATTCATAATAATATTTTCCTGCTATTGGTTAGTTCAGGAATCTTTTATCGAAGTGACAGTCATATGTGTCTGTTTTCAAAGGAAAATGAAACTCCCGCAGATTAAGAGCTTATCCAGGGAGAACAAACAAGATGGCGGATCGGGTGGACGTATAGCAGAGAGCTCCGCCAACAACAACACAGAATACC